ATTCCATTTACCTCTCTATTAGACCATCTAATGCCTATTGAATCAAAGAAGCAACAAGGTAAGTTTATAAACTCTGAAATTTTTCTAAAAACTAACTTAGCTTTATTTGATGCAGGTACTAATATTTTGAGGACAAAACCTCTTCAAGAGGGAGAGTATGATGTAAGAATCAATGTTTATATCAAGGAGAAACACAAAGGAGATGAGCTAGAACATGTTTTGCTTGAAGATAAGGAGTAAGTGAGACTTGTAGCTGATTGCAAAGGAGCTAGGGACTTTATATCAAAACGCCAGCGTTCCATATATCCAAGAGCACGTCTTTACCAAGCTAAACCATGTCCAGCTTCAATCAAAATAGAAGAGAATCACCCTAAACCGCCAAATCTACTTAAACCACCAAATGGAGCATTATTGGAGCCGATTAAGGAAACTTGGGAAGCAACACATTTCATTCGACCCACCCATTTATTCTATATCATCAGAAGACTTCAGAAGATATACAAGCTATACAAGACAGAAACCGGAGTTACTTGATTCAAACCAAGGGAGAACCGCCAAGTTCAATATATGGACCTACATGTACATATTCAGAGCTATTCGAGGAAACATGGAGCATAGCTTATACCAACATATCATTCACGCCTCCTTTGAAGTTTACAGAGTTTACCAAGATTTCTAAACCACCTGACCAAGCCAATAACCGAATCAAACCAGCTCAAACTAAAGAAAAAACTACCATGAAGATAGTTTCCATAAAAAGATTCATTAACTTTGTTTCTAATAGAAAGCATGACCAACGACCAGATTATATCATTAATCTCAACCCTACAGTCAAGCCACAAGATTCATCACGTCCCTACATCATAGAAGAGTCAAAAATCACACCATTTTCGTCCTCCAGATCAAGCCATCTCACAAATCAAACAAATTCCCTCCATTAAGCCAATTGGCTAGTCTTTCATCACACTATACTTTCAGCCTTTGTGTTAGTATCTTATAACCAATTTATTCACATTATTTTGAGCATTATATAAGCTCCAACCTTTGTATTTTCATGCCACCAAAATTATTACCAATCAAAAGTATTATCTTGTTTCAAAGAAGATTTCTCTTTACATTCAAACTGTTCATACGAATTACTAAGTTTTCTTTGAGAAATTCAGAGAGCATGTAAAACGTGTAGAATCATTTTTTCTCTTATGAGGATTAATCCTTAAAAAGCTTAAGTCTAATCCTTGTATTTGGAGTCATCAAATACAATCAGACCAGCAATCATCAAGCCCTTCATCCACCACTTCAGCCTTAAGTATTTGATTTCTAAGAAGTATTCTTGGAGCCATTTTCAAGTCTACATCATGCTTACATCACCCATGGTTCTCAAGGCCGCCTTAGACGATCGGTACCGTAAGGAAACGGAGTATGTAGTTGTTAGATTTCCAATATTTACACATATAACACTTTCATAACTTACGGTTATGTGGTGATTATATATATCTTATTATCAAAATATCAAAAGCAAAATAAGTATTTTCATATATGAGGATGCATCAGTTTTTTCTTTATGTTCCATAGAACTGGGAATTAACCCCATATAAGATTCAAGTCTATTATATGATCGACCTCTGCTCTTTATCCACAAATCCATTTTCCCTAAGAAACTTGATTTTTAGAACTATTAATTTTTTTTTTGACATCTTTTTTTATTTTTAGAACTATTAATTACACTTCATTTTGTACTTAGATTAGATGGAAATGAGAGAAACCTTGATTGATATACATAGGTGAATATCTTTAGTGTCGTTAGACCATCTCCAATGTATTTCTTCATTTTCCACTCCAAAATAAAGTAATTCTAAAATGTAGTTGTGTTTTGTTCCAATGTATTTCTCCATTTTCTACTCCAAAAAGAGAATATTCTAAACAGATTCTTATTCGATTTTATTATAAATACTTTTTAGTTTTAAAATTTACAAATAAATTCCACTTATTTTATTATTTACAATTTCTTTCAAAAACTATAACTTAAATATTTATCAAATAATAAAAATTATATAACATCACAAAAAAGCATAGGCAATTTTTATATAAATATTACTATTACTAAAAATTTTATCATTAATGTTTTTTGTGTAATGTTTATCTTAATTTCAATAATTATTCTGTATTTTAAAGTTTATTATATTTTGTAATTTTTAGAAATAATTGTAGTATTTAAATATTTATCATTATCAGTTTTATAATATTTTTTATAAATATTAAATAGTATAAAATATAATTATTTTAAATCTAAAGGATTAGTTTGCAAATAAAAAAGTCTAACTCCAAAATAGAGTAGAGTTTAGATCTACTTCAAATATGGAGTAGCATTTAGGTTTACTCCATTTTGGAGTTGAAAATAGAATAGAGTTAGAAAGCATTTTACTCCAAAATGGTTTTTAAAGTTGAAAATGGAGTAGGGTTCAATGTAAATAGCTTTTGGAGATGCTCTTAGTAATGTAAACTTCAATGTAAATGCATCTCTTATTGATGGACAAAGTAAACCAATGTGTGACAAATATGACAAAATCTCTTATTGGAGCTTTGATATTTAAGAGCTTCGAGCTTTGGTTAAAGAGCATAAAGGTCGAAGTCATTTCAAGTTTCAAGTATGAACAGGAGCGGACACAGAAAATAATTATATATGAGGCACAACATATATAAATATTTAATATAACTAAATTAATTAAAATATATTATAAATATTAAAATTTATAACATAAATTATTATAATTTTTGTTAATTTTTGAAAATATATAAAACTAAATAAATAAAAAATTTGGAAAAAGAAACAATAAAGAACATGGAAAAAGATTGAATTTAAGCTTATATGAAGAATAATTAAGCTACAATGAAAATTATAACATAAATTATTATAGTTTTCATTAATTTTTAAAAATTTATAAAACTAAATAAATAAATAAAATTAGAAAATGAAGAACATGGAAAAAGATTGAATTTAAATTTATATAAAAAATATTTTAGCTACAAAATCAACTGAGTTATTAAACTATTAGTGTTACATATATATATTATTTATAGATTTAGTATGGGGCACATGCCTCACCCACCTATAACATGGATCCGCCCCTGAGTATGAAGCATGTACTCGATAACATTTAAATTGAATCAAAAATGGCCTAATAATATTAGACATAAATAATCAGAGCAACCAAAACGTTTAAACTATTGATATTCCATATGTATTGGAATCCACTACATATTATTTGAGAAGTAACATTATTGAAAATAGCTTACTTGTCAACACTACAACCAAAGTTAGTGTTTTTAATTGATGACATGTAAATGTGACATGTCAAACTTTCTAAAATAAACGAAATGTTTTGATTGGTTGAATTAAAATTATAGTTGTGGAATTAAAACATAAATAAACTAGATTATATTTATAACACTAAAATTAGCAAATTTAAATTAACAAAAAATAAAAGTTATTATAATTTTAATTTTTTTACATATATTCATAATTTCATGAAATATAATTATGAATTTTTTTCAACAATATATATATATATATTATAATTTCAAATAAAAAAATAATACTAAATGATCCAATAGAATAGTAAAAAATTTATTTATTAATAATACTTGAAGTATGATATATTTTTATATCGGAAAGTTATTAATTTACAAAATATATTAATAACATCTAAACAAGTTTTAAATAAAAAATTATTAAATAATAAAATTTTAAATAAAATACAATCATGATAAAAATAATTTAAAGAATAAAACATTAAAATAATAAAATAATTAACTTTTATTGAAATAGTTTTAAGAAAACGTAATTTAAAAAAAAAATATTTTCAAACCAATATTTACTAATTGAATAAAGTATATACAAATTATTATTTTATAATATTAATATGACCATATATTTTTCTATTACTTTTATCATCTTTTTATTGTTGTTTTCTAAAATGTACATAACTCATGTTACCATCTCATCTTATCTCTTATCATATTTTAAATAAAAATAATAGCTATATACATGTATAAATTTATTTTCATTGTATATAAAATTTTTGAATAATCGAACAAAAAATAAATTATAATAAGATGAAACAATATGAATCAGAAATGAAAATAAAAGTATATAAAAGTAAATCTCTCACACTTTGTTTTACAAAGTCACTTAAAAACTTTTTAATACTTAAGAGCTATATTTTATTTTTTTACAAATACGCGTACACACATAAATATTAATTCTACATTAGTTGAAGTCATATGCGAACTTTTCCGTGCATGTATTTTGTTAAGATTGATTACAGTCTAATTTTTATTTTAATTATTATACAATTTATATTTTTTAAAAATATTTATCTATTCTAAGTGTAGTGAACTGGTTGGTATGTTCGCACATGCGTGCCAATCATCTATCCGCTCTTAGGAATAAGTAAAAATGGTAAAAACTATTTCAGTTTAATTTGCAATAATTCAAGAAAAATATATACTTAAATATATTATATACGTATTTGCAAATTCATATTATGTAAGATGCAAAAAAACATATCGTAGATTGTATACGGAGAAATAAAGAATATTATAGAAATATTCAAAAATATTATAAGAATTTAATTATTATTTAACATAACTTTTATATTTGTGATTATATATTATTACAAGCATTATAAATATAAAAAGTTTTAAAACACATTGGTTTCAGAAAGAAGGTTGTGAAATATTAAAACAATACATATATACAAACATACCAATATTTAAAAAAACTAATCAACATCAAATATTACAATTAACTATGTATATCAAAAAAATTATATCCGCACATATGTACGGACCAACCACCTGGTTTTATACTATAATCTTAAAAACAAATTTCGTTTTCTTGGCACAAAGAAAATGCAAATTTAATTACTGTTTTTATGGATAGAATATATTTTTTTGTTAAAAGACGGTTGTACTACCCCTACTTTTTTTTGTTCTTTCGAGGAACATTCGAGAACGTTACGAGGTCTTACTCCTTACGAGCTAAGCTTCTCACACTTTTATAATTCCTCCTTTAAAAACCCTCCGATTTTGCTAGTTCACAAATTAAAAGCAATCTCACAAGTATTTCTGTATCAATCGTACTAGTCAAGTTGTTTTAGCTCAAGAGAATTTCCCGATCAGATCCAATCAATCAAGCTCTGATGGAGAGAGGTGGTTACCGAGGAGGTCGTGGTGATGGCCGTGGTAGAGGCGGCGGAGGCCGTGGTGATGGCGGAGGTGGAGGGCGTGGTTATGGCGGCGGAGGAGGCCGCGGTGATGGCGGAGGAGATCGTGGTCGTGGTTACGGAGGTCGTGCTCGTGGCTCCGAGCGAGGGGGCGGTGGTTTGGGAAATCGTGGCCAGGGTTCTGGTGGTCGCGGTGGTGAATACAATCGGGATCAACAGGATTTCCGAAGCCAGAGTCAGTGGGGACCACCGCCGGGACAAGGTGGCCGTGGAACGCAGTTGCAACAACAACGACCACAGGGGGTTCAACAGCCGCCGCAGGCAGTTCAACAGCCTCCACAGGCTCGAGCGATTCCCGCCGTTGCAGCAGGAGGCGTCGGTAGAGGCGCGTGGGGTCGTAGGCCACAGGTTCCTTCTGAGACGGCGGTTTTACCTCCTCCTCCTCCGTCCACCACCGTCGTGGTTCCTGAAACAACTCGTGGTATGTATAGTAACCTAATCTATTGATTTTTTCATTATCTCTAAGACTCTGATTCCAGATTCCTTGCGGTTATTAGAAAGTTCACAGACGCATCATTTTAGTTTCATCACTCTATAGACAATTAATGATTGGAATTGATGTGGTTTTACTTACATTGGAACTTATGTGAGCTAATCAATAGTCTTTGTCTTCATTGATAAATGTTTCTTTGTGTTTTTTTTAATTTCAAGCTACAAATTAACAAGCAAGTTTGTGTGTACTTTGTAATTTGACAGTTTCTGAAGTTATGATCCCGAGTCCATCTGTGCAAGTTGCTTCTTCTCAAAGGAAAGAACCTATGAAGCGTCCTGATAAAGGCGGTGTTGTGGCTGTCCGTCGTGTAAACCTTTATGTGAACCACTTCAGAGTGAATTTCGATCCCGACGGTGTCATAGGACACTATGATGTCGAGATCAAAGGAGAGAACCCCACCAAGAAGATATCAAGATTCGTGCTAGCTATGGTCAGGGACAAGGTGTTCACAGACAATCCCGATGAGTTTCCATTCTCCATGACTGCATACGATGGCCAGAAGAACATTTTCAGCGCGGCTAAACTGCCTACAGGGTCATTCAAGGTTGATTTCCCGAAAACCGAAGAGACGAGAGCTCGGAGCTACACCTTCACCATCAAGCAGGTGAATGAGCTTAAGTTCCGTGACTTGAAAGAGTACATGACAGGTCGTTCGTCTTTCAATCCTCGTGATGTGCTGCAAGGACTGGACGTTGTGATGAAGGAGCATCCTTCAAAGTGTATGATCACAGTCGGCAAATGCTTCTTCACTCGCGAATCCGAGCCTGATGAGGACTTTGGCTTCGGTGTTGCAGCTGCCAAAGGGTACCGACACGCTCTGAAGCCCACGGCGCAAGGTTTATCTTTGTGCCTGGACTACTCCGTGTTGGCGTTCAGGAAGGCAATGTCAGTCATCGAGTATCTGAAGCTGTACTTCGGCTGGCGTGATTTGAGCCAGTTTAGGAAGTGCAGCCACGACGTGCAGAAGGAATTGACTGGGTTGAAAGTCACTGTCACTCATCGGAAGAACAAACAGAAACTCACCATTGTAGGACTCAGTAAGGAAGACACGAAAGATATCAAATTCGATCTTATAGATCAAGAGGGAAACGAACCACCGAGGAGAACGTCCATTGTTGAGTATTTCAGGATCAAGTACGGAAGAGACATTGTTCACAAGGATATTCCGTGCTTGGATCTCGGGAAAAACGGGCGGCAAAATTTGGTGCCTATGGAGTTCTGTGTATTGGTTGAAGGACAGATCTATCCAAAAGACGACTTGGATAAAGATTCAGCCTTGTGGTTAAAAAAGCTGTCTTTAGTCAGTCCACATCAAAGGCAGGCGAATATACGTAAGATGATAGAGTCTGCTGATGGACCTAGAGGGTATGTTTACAAATACATCTCTTGTTTTTTTTTCCTTTCTTTAAAAAGCTTTTGACAGTTAACTTGTGTGTATGAATCTTACCCTTTTGTATGTGTGTGTCAATGGCAGTGGAGAAATCATTGGGAACTTTGGAATGAATGTTGATACTAAGATGACACCAGTGGAAGGTCGTGTTCTCAAGGCTCCGGCGTTGAAGTTGACAGATAAAGGCAGAGCTGTTCGTGAGGAACCCAACCCGAGACAGAACAACCAGTGGAACCTTATGAGGAAGGGAGTCACGAGAGGTTCAGTGGTCAAGCATTGGGCTGTTATCGACTTCACCGCGTCTGAGAGGTCCAACAACTTCAAGATGCCTTATGACTTTGTCGATCAGCTTATCAAACGTTGTGGTACACTTGGGATGAAGCTGGACCCTCCCATCGTTTACAAAGAATCAAGAATGGATACGCTTAATAAAGCTAATGATCTCGAAGGATTGCTTCGACACGTGATTGACGAGGCAAATCAAAAGCACGGTGGGGCTCGCTTAACTCTCGTACTCTGTGCTATGTCCGGCAAGGTCGAAGGCTACAAGACTCTGAAATGGATAGCCGAGACCAAACTCGGTCTGGTGACTCAGTGTTTCTTGGCAAACTCTGCTAATAGAGGAGGTGATCAGTACCGTGCAAACCTTGCCCTCAAGATCAACGCGAAAGTCGGTGGGAGCAACGTCGAGCTGATGGATACTTTCTCTTTCTTCAGAAGAGAAGATGAGGTCATGTTCATTGGCGCTGATGTAAACCATCCTGCTGCTATGAACAAGATTAGCCCGTCCATTGTTGCGGTTGTTGGTACTCTAAACTGGCCAGAAGCTAACCGTTATGCAGCTAGAGTCATCGCACAGCCTCACCGTAAAGAGGAGATACAAGGGTTTGGTGATACATGCTTGGAGCTTGTCAAGGCTCATGTCAAGTCCACGGGCAAACGCCCCAACAAGATTGTGATATTCCGCGATGGTGTAAGCGATGGTCAGTTCGATATGGTTCTCAACGTGGAGCTGCTTGATGTGAAGCTCACTTTTGAGAAGAATGGTTACAATCCGAAGATAACTGTGATCGTTGCCCAGAAACGCCATCAGACCCGTTTCTTCCCTGCAACGAGCAATGATGGGAGTGATAAGGGCAATGTGCCTTCGGGTACGGTCGTGGATTCCAAAATCATTCACCCGTTTGAGTATGATTTCTACCTATGCAGTCACCATGGAGGGATCGGTACGAGTAAGCCGACGCATTACTATACACTTTGGGACGAACTCGGATTCACATCCGATCAGATTCAGAAGCTCATCTTTGAGATGTGTTTCACTTTCACTCGCTGCACTAAACCGGTCTCTCTTGTTCCTCCGGTCTATTATGCTGACATGGTTGCCTTTAGGGGAAGGTTATACTACGAAGCGAGCTCGAAGGAGAAGGAGAAGAACTTTAGGCAGCCACGTGGAGCTGCTTCGCTTGCTTCTTCGTTCTCTTCTCTGACAGTGGAGGATCAAGCTGTCTTCAAGCTGCACAAGGAGCTTGAGAACGTTATGTTCTTCGTCTGAAAAAACAGGTTTGGGTTATATTTGTGTTTTGGGTCCCTAAGCTGAACTTAAAAATTACTATTGAATATCGGAACGCCCCAATAACGCAGTTTTATTCCTTTTTACTGGTAGAAAGGATTTTGTGCGTGAATCTAATTGGGTTTTTTCGCTGTGTGAATCTTTGTTTTTCTTTTTCTTTGTTTTTGGTTTGTTTTGTGTTGAAAACAGTTTATGTTTGATATTGTATTGGCAGAGACCATCGTTATTTCATGTATTTTATTATAATTATTAAGACTGGATTTGATAAGTAATTCATATATTGCTATCGTTTTGCAATTTTGTTTCCGAGCTTTGTTAAAAAGCCTGAGAGAGATCTCAGAGATGCAAAAGGATGAGTGTGAGGTTTACCTTTTCTTTTATCTTGGATCATTCGTGTTTGTTTCTGTCTGAGATTCCTTCAGTGATGGGGTTTCTGCAATTTGTAAATTATCTTTTCATGGAAAAACTTTATCTAGTTTGATTATTTGTGGCAATGATCATGCAATTTCTTTCACACAAGCTGTGGATGAGCCCTGTGAGAGAGACAAAAATCCATAATTGAGCTCAGTTATGGGCTTTCTTATTTTTCTGATGGAGCTTACTGACATTTCCTGGGACCATTAACCATATACATACGCTAACTTTAAATCTTTAACATATGTACGTCATTGAAGGTGGATTTTGGATGATTTCAAAGTTTTAGTACTGAGATTTGAATGGGTGAAAGAAACAAGTTGTTGAGCTATGCGATTACATGTACGTAAGTATGTAACTCATTTGTTTTTCGGCTTGCAAAATCTCATTTATTATTGTAACTCTCTCATTTACTACATTTTAAGATTATAAAAATGTTCTATACCATATTTGTATATCCCATATTAAAATAGCAAAACAAAGAAACTCGAAATTGTACAAAAGAGAAGAGAATACCAAACCAAATGAAAAAGACATGGTAGTCGAAGTGATTCACACGAATCGAACTATATTAATAATCTCTCTATTCTTATTTTAATCTGATTATCATCTACTTGGCGTTAGTGTCTGGTTCGTGTTTTATTTCATAAATATACATTAAACGCATTTTCATTTCTTCCCAAATAAAACGCATATTCATTACTCATTTTTGTTGATTTTTTTTGGGCATAAATATATAAAAAGATCGAGAACCTATGAATTTAATACCTAATTCTAGCCTTTAAATTTAACAATTTTTATATTTCTTTATTGTTGATTTTTTTTTTCTTTCTTTCTTCTATATTCGTGCACCAGCTGTAGTTTTTATATATATAAAAAAAAAAACAAATTCCTGAGATCGAGTGTTTTGTGTTCTCTCTTCTCCTTCACATTCACATTGATTAAAGCTAAAGTTTCATTGATGCTACTTCCGATTTACCCTTTCGCTGCTGCTTTTTTCTCACTCTCACAGTTTTCTCGCCGATTCTAAAATCTTTCCTTCCTTTGCGTGCATTTCTCTCCCGGATTTTATTCAGATTTCCCCACAAGGTATCCTTCTCCATATCTTCTCTCTGTTTCGGTGCGTTTTTTTGCGATTCATGGATCAGATTTGACTTCGATTGAATCCGAGTTCCGTATTCCTCAATCGGTTTCGGTAATTTCACTATTTTCCTAGAATCTTCCTCATCTAGGTATTGCCTATGGAATCTGCATTTCTTAGTTTCAGAATTTGAGATTAGGGTTCATACATGTTGTTAGATTGCGAATAACTTGGGATTTTTTTTTGTTTTTGTTTTATCATCTCTCTCATTATCACATAACTCATATTGTTGTTGAATGATGAGAAACACAATCTGTGTATATTCGATTATTATGCATATATATATAAACGAGTACAACGAATCAGTTATCATATGTACGTATTCCTTTAATGAGATAAGAGTTAATCCAGAGTTTCCTTTTCTATCACTTACTATAAGTTCTGGATTCGGTGGATTGAGATTGATTCTTTCATGGCATTTTTTGGTGTAGGTGATGAGATGAGGAATCAATAGATAAAGTTTGAAAATCAAAATCTGTATTATCTGCAATGTCTACGTCTTTGCAAACGATTGGTGCCATTAAGTCTTATCATCATCAAGCTCAGCATTTGGTTAAGAACTATCTTTTAGCTGATCCATTTATCCCTTACACTTCTGTCCTCACCGGAATTTTTCTTTGCAAAGTGGTGAGATTGGTTTCTTGTAACTTTCTTGTTTCTTCAGATAAGCTAGATCCTTGCGGTTAATTGATTAATGATCGAATTGGTTTTTGCAGGTTTATGATCTTTGTCACTTTATCAGCAATTCACATTCTAAGACCTATATCATCCTCACGAAAATTCAGAGAATCGAATGGAATAACCGGTTTGTGTTGATGATTGTTAACTCTTTCAAGTGTTGTGTATATCAATTTAGCATCTTTGGATTTGTTTAGGGTTTTTGAAATTGTTTAAATCGTATTTGGCAGTGGAATCTCAACAGTTCATGCTATTTTTATCTCGGCTATGTCGCTGTACTTTGTCTTCTGGTCCGACCTCTTTTCGGATAGGTGGCACAACGATCTTGTTGTTTTCAGGAGCTCACGGCTTTCCTCTCTTGGTTTAGGGGTAAGTGATAATTTAACTGTAACCCATAGCTAATGTAGAATCTCTGAGAGAAAAAAATTTCAACATGACACATGTATGTATATATGATTTGCAGTTATCTATTGGCTACTTCATTGCTGATCTTGGGATGATCTTCTGGAAATATCCTTCTTTAGGTGGACTTGAGTATGTAAGTAAACTGTTCTTGACCAAACACTTTGCTATCTAGTGATTTATGATTTCTCCCCAAAGATATGCAAAATCCTCCCAAATATTCGGCTTGTTGATGCTTTCACTTTCGGTATATCTATTTGGAAACCTCTACACCGCTCAACGGAATCAATGCTAAAACTAAGATAGAGAATTTTGCATTTTGCTTCTCAGATTGTGCACCACTCGCTATCTGGCGTAGCAGTCGCCTACTCTTTGTTTTCTGGGGAAGGACAGTTATATACCTACATGGTCCTCATCTCTGAGATTACAACCCCAGAGATCAACTTGAGATGGTACTTCCCTTTTTTTCATATACAACATATCACCTTAGCATTTGTTTTTTCTGAAAGAACAAAAAAGTGAAATATCTCGGGGGTCTTATGAAGGTACCTGGACACAGCTGGTATGAAGAAGTCATTGGCATACGTTGTTAATGGCGTTTTCATCTTTTTGGTTTGGCTGGTACACAATAATCAACACCCTACTCATTTTGATGCTCAACGTTAATGCGACTACTTATCACTCGAAACACTTTCATGTCAGGTTGCGAGAATTTTACTCTTCATATACATGTTTTATCATGTCTATCTCCATTACAACCAGGTAAAACCCATTAATGGCATCCTCTTCACTATCTGCGGTTTATTGATTATGTTTGGATTGCATCTAAACCTTTTCCCCATTGAACTCGATACATCACAATGTTATCAAGTTTCGGAGTTTTTGTTGATGTTTATGTGATTGGAATTACTTTGTTGTGTGGTAGGTCATGAGGATGCACATCTTCGGATACGCTCTGGTATTTGGTGTACCAGCTGCGCTCGGTGTCATGAACTTGATATGGTTCGGTAAGATTGTGAGAGGTGTAAAGAAAACATTAGCGAAGAGATGTGAATGGTGAGATTGGTGAGTCTTGCTCACAATGTTTTCATCAGTTCATCATCATCTTCTTCTTCTTTTTCCCTCTGACATATGTCTGTTCTCTCTAGTGTAAGTAGTTTTTGTTATGGAGAAACGAGAAGAAACAAACCAAAAAAACAAAACAAAAGTGTTACGATCCTCTGACGTCTCTGTAAATGATCACAATTCAAGTCTCTTTACGTTTTTTCATTATACAATGTAACTCTGTTTTCATTATACAATGTAACTCTGTTTTCATTCTAATAGTTTTGGCTCTAGGGTTCAATGTCTTATTTCTGGAACTTCGGACAATCCGAAAATCGATACAGTTTTGGTTACCATTTGGCATTTGTCAATTTGTTTGTAACAATATAACATACAAAAGATACCCCTAATGTGCATAGGCATATACATAAAAATGTTTAGTTATGTGGTCAGTTTTCTTGGATGCAAAATATGAATTTTTTACATGAAATTAGTCCATAACGAATGAAAGAAGAAAACATAGTGGTGAGTTTGCTGGAATATATTTATTTAAACCCGGCTTGTGAGGCCCATTGTATGACTAGTTATTGTTATCGGCTTATAGACCCATCATAGAAGTCAATCTGAAAGAAAAGAAAGGAGTCAATGGCTGGTGATCAATAAAAAATATATAAATAAAAAAGAAAAAAAATAAAAGGAATAAAATAAAAAGAACGAATAAGAATGAAATATATATATAAAAAAAAAGAGAAATCTATTTTATTTTTCTCTCAAATTTACATTTGTTCTACAATGCTATTTATAATAAGGAATAAAAAGAAATAATCAAGAAACAATATTTCTAACAAATGGTAAATTAAAAAATAAAAAAGAATTCATTATTTTTCTCATTCTCTTAGCTCACCAGTTAAGTCTATGTCGACATCACTGAGTTGAATCTTTTAAAACAAAACTTAGGTCACAATGTACGGATACAAACAAAGCTATGTGGCTGATTGTGTATTTAATCAGATATAGTTTATTGTCTGTTTTTGTTTACAAAATTCATTGTCTGATGTTGATTTAAAACAAAAAGAAATAGTGTTTCTTCTTCTTCTTTTGTCAAAAAGAATAGTGTTTCTTATTTAAGTTAACACTAATTATCAATCAGAGGGAAAACGCGACACATTTATGCCTGCGTTTATAAATTAAAGTTAATTATTTAGAAATTACGACTAATGTCTAAACCGAGTGTAACTCTACATACATCAACTGTATCACCATTTAACTTTGTTTGTCTTTTTCTGTATATCAGTAACAGTAACCCATTTTAAATCACATAACTAGATTTTTTTAGATTTGATTTCAGGTACAATTTGGTGTATCGTAACGCACCAGTCTCTATCTAAAAAAATGTCTTATTTATTTATTATTATTTTCATTATTTCAACACAGCTCACTTTCTCTGTAGAAAAGCTGCATCTGAAGGGTGTGGGGAAGAAAAAAGAGAAGCACTTTTGGCCATAGAGTACAACACTATACACATTACATTCATCACCTTTTTTTTTTTAAATAAAAAAAAATTATATATTATATATTGCTTCCCAAAATTTGGCCCATTGTAATTTATTGTTATGACCCCTCTCATGGGGTTCCTTTTATTTCCCTTTTTTCACTAACAAATAAAAATATTGAACTATCGTGTTCATAAGATGGACCTTACGTGTGTTTATAGGATCTGCATTGACTCCATTATATCTATATATATATGAAGCATGGTTTATTCAAGTCCAACTTAGACCTACTGGTTTCCACTTTCCTAAAGTACATTCTTAGACATATTGTTGAAACCTAATTATTGAGATTTGGAACATTACTTTGATGAATAAAAAGAATCTGAAGAATGAGAAAGTTTTTGTCACTAAGCTCTGATGCATTGAAGAGAAAGAGAGAGAAGAATGAGACTGATGAGAGAGGGAACCAATAATACTCAATAGAATGGCCTCCACACTCTTCCCCTTCCTTTGACTGCTCTCTCTGCCCCCTTTGACCACTTTCTCTCTCACTTAAATGCTTTCCCACGCGCCTCTCTTGTGCACGCTCGTCTCACGCTCCCCATCCCAAAAGTTTCTTTTAGTTGCATGATTAGGTCCATCATTAGCATTTCGACGTCCTTTAAGTAGTTTTTGGCTACACCATTCACTGGCATTACAATGATTTGTATACGTTCATGCTCAATTTTTTTTTGAAAAAACGCTCTAAATCAATGTAGAATCATATATCTACACATACGAACACTTCGTTATTTTTTAGACGAAAGAAGAAAACAAAGGTTGTTACACATACTTTGTATAACCTCCTCTCTAATACCAATAGAATGTAGTTTGTGTTTTATAAACTCATACGTATCTCTTTCAATGAAGGTAACAAGAAATTACGAAGCACCTTGTGTTTATTCAATAGGGACATGAAATATTCATAACCATGTATTTTTATGAATCGAAATCTAAACTTACCTCAAAACATGTCGCATTCTTGTGATCACATTTCAATTAATATTGCGTGGAAATAATCAACAAATTGCATTTACTAAAAAACATTAAGAGTGAAAGATAGAGATTGTAACTTGAATATCAATTTATATACTTGCACCAAATGAATAGTCTCCTTAACTAATCACTTCCCTAATCAAATTAACTACATAATAATAATTAAAGTTATTGTGGTGGAGTTCCTTGATGCTGATTATTATGGCGAGAAGTAGAAGAAGAAGACGAAGAAGCCAAAGCGAAAATGGAGCTCGCTAGCTTATTAATGGCTTCCACTAATCCATTCATTCCTTCTCTGTTCATCTCAACATTCGATTCTTCGATCTTCAGTCTCCTCTCTTGTAAGCTCATCACTTCCTTATGTCTCCGATCTTGTCTCTCCTCACTCTCCTTTATCGCGTTTGCGATCACAGACGCGCTTCTCGATAACGCAGCAGTCACTACAGTCTCAGCTTCCTCCGTTTCTGCGTTTCCGCCGCCGCTTGGACCGGCGGTTGTCGTCGGCATTGTTCTCCTTCGCTTCGCCGGAGATGTGTCTGAATACTCACTCGTATCAGAATCTGAGCTACTATCCTTCTTCATGAAAGTTATATAAAATAATCCGAACCAAAATTCTTGTTAATATCAAGAATTGAAGATAATGTAAATCCATACCAAATATCCACTGAAAATTATCAGGTGATTTAATTAAGCGTTGCATCAAAATATTAACTTATACATTCAGAAAAGATGAATATAATTGTGTACTATTTAGGTTTGATTATTTATGCGGAATCGGACTATTTGAGATAATTTACAATGTGGGTTTGACATTAATTAAAGCTTTCAGTGTCGAATTCTTTATTTTTTTTCTAAGATAATATTATAAATGCAACTTAGAGCAATGGTAGAAGTTAAGAAGAGAGAGAAAGAAGGTACCTACTGTGGGCAGTATTGGCTGAGCATGAAAAGAAGGCGGTGGAGGCGGTGGCAGAATTAGCGGTCTTGGTAGCGGCTGCGGCGGTTGAGACGGTGGAGGCGGTGGTGACTGAAGAGGTAATCTGACAAGAGGTTGAATCATTTGATGATGTTTCGGAACGAATCCTAAACCTTGTTGTTGTATCACTTTTTGGATTTGTAGTCCACCACCGCCTGAACCGTTTCCACTTCCAATGGCAGCAGCAGCAGCAGCAGCGACTGCAGCGGTTGCGGCGGTTGAGGAAAGGGGCGTTTTACTCTCCACCACTTCGAACAACGCTTGGTATGTTTGGGGCAACATATTACTCGGCAGGTTCCTCTCTTTCCTCTCACTCTTCTCCATATTCCAATACGACCCCGTTTCCGCAGCGGCTGATGATGAAGACTCAGTGGCAAAAGACGATTCTACCCTCCGTCTCTCAAACTCTCTAACCTTTTTGTAATCTCTCATGAGATTGTCCCACTTGTCATTGCACTGATTCTGACTCCTCATACAACCTTTTCGCCAACAGTAATCTTCTATCCACTTCCACCGTAGCTCCGCCGGTTTATTACCACTACTACTCCGGCTATCTTGTGACTGCTCCGACGCCGGAAGGCCGATGGACCGCCGCATCCTCCTCTCGTCGTCCATCTTCTTGGCTTCAATGAGCACCATCGTCTCATTCATTGTCCAGTTCCCTTTCCTATACTCTCTCATCATAACCAATCCACCACTTTGGTCAGCCATGTTTTCTTGAAATCTTGAAAAATCAAGAACTAGAGAGAGAGTGAATAAAAAGATTAGTGTGTAGAAAGAGTGAGAGAGAGAGAAAGAGTGAGAGAGAGAGAGAGAGTGAGAGAGAGGCTTTTGGTAGGTGTTGGAGAAAGGGGAGAAGAAAGGGATTGTCTTGGGGTGGGGATATGTGTAGTGTGTTGTTATGTGAGTGTTTAAGTTTTTAGGATACTTTAATTTGATTATTTTTTCATGTGAGTGAGAAGACTGGTCAAAATCTTTTTGTTGTAGTACTAAGATTGTCACCAAGTGCAATAAAAAGGACAATGCTTGCGAAATTGGGAGCCAAGTGAAAAGGAAAAAAATAGAAAATCTAAGTAGTGTATCCCATTCATTCATTAATTAAATTGGACCTTTTTCTTTTATTTTATTTTTGTTTTTTTATATATAAAATTTTCATTCATTCATTCATGTCTCTCTTAATTTCTTTTGGGGACAGGAAATCTTAGGTGAATCTAGCATTTCTAATTATGTACACAATTTCAACTAGAGGAGTAAATGGGTCAATGTTTCATAAGATCTACTTCCTTGTGATTTCATTGTTGTTTCATAAGTTTACTTTACGGCCACAATGTATTTTTAAATGTGTAGTAAGTAATCCTGAAAAAAGATAATGTCCAGTAAATATTTTCAAGAAATGTAATATGGTGATTTGTATTAATTATTGTCTTCATTGCCATTGGCCATATGAATTCAAAATTAGTAAAATGTATTTTGCTTACAGAAACAAATGTAGTAAATGTATGCTTAAAAAGTCAAATAAAAGAATCAGTAAATAAAAAACATAGAAGAACATCTATCGATTTTTTTTCTTTATGTTAGGTTTTTACATCACCACTGTTACATTAATAGTAATTGTAAGTTATGAAGGTAAGCTAAGTAGACCGAGTTACGGATATATATATAAGATAAAATGTCTAGAAACGACAAATGAGAACAATATGTGATTCAATATTTTCAATTAGATTAGGACCACATAACATTTCATAAACGGTCTTATTCAACAAGGCAAATGCATGAGTGATGTATCTGTTTTCAAACTTATAAGAAATTGGAAGATTTTGGAGGCATCCTATGTAGATCTCGTTTCCATTGTGATAAAATAAATAAAGTGATATCAAACTTCAAAAAGCTATTGGCTTTATATGATTGCTTCTCATACTTTCTTTTTAAAAAGGTTGATTTACGAATCTCTAATTCATGTGCACGAGCTATAAGTAATATAATTACTTTTTAATGTCTTTGCCTATAACACTTGAGCCTTATGCGCATATATGTTTATAGAATATGTAAATGCTTAATTTTCTTATTTACAAAATATTAATACAACTGGAATATTGTATAAAGTTTTAAAGAAAAACAAGGGAAAATAGTTGTGGTTAGGTTTCTTTACACAAAAATGTAAGAAATACCGGCTAGTATTAAAAACCACATAATCGAGCATAAAATAGATATAGTACTTTCACCTAATTTAATAGGAAATGCATGGTTGTAAACTTTAACAATTTGAAGTTATAGACTTAATGATGAATCCTCATTTTCTACCGATCTGTCTAATGCATGCTTTACAGTCATGAGTCATCGTATAAATTTGAACCTGTCTAATGTAAATTCTGATATAAATCTCATATGATGGTTCAAATTCTCATAGCGACGTATAAAATTCTATAAAATCAATTGAATACTTAACTTTTGTTAGACGCGTATATAACTATTATCATAATTTTTAAAAGCACGTAGTTAGATGTCATATATTGTGTTGCATACTTCATACTTTTTTTTTTGGTGCAACATATTTTTTTTTTTTTTGCAACATATTGCATACTTCATATTTGCATGGTGCACCATATTTAATTTTCTATATTGCAAAAGATAAACCTTTTAAAAACGAAAAAGTATCATTATCTCAAGCAACAGCAAAAAAAGAAAAGAACGATAATCTGTAGATAGCAATTTGCGTACATTACGTTACTTGCATTGCATTTGCATGGCGGGGGACATTATTGCATTCCATATGAAAAAGAAAAGAAAAACGATCATCATTGTCTGAAAAATAAGACATAACTAATCAAGCTCCCACGTTACTAATCTACGATACTGAGTTGTAATTAAGTCTTTCAAAAAAGGCTCAAACACATAAGCACAATTAAAAACTGTATTGCATACGCAATTACTTGAACGACCAAATTTTTAGTCTATATCGATATACTCAAAGCTATTTATCTCAAGAAAACTTTGGATGATCCATGCTAAAATTATAATTATAATTTTTTTCTTATCTATTACTAATTAACTACCATAGATATTTTACATCGTAAGAACAACATCTGTATCAGATAAGATGCATAAGTCGATCGCCTATTCCTATTAACTGTGAATTACTTCCAAGTGGTATTACCCTATTACTCGTATGGAATTATGGTAGGAGGACCTCTCTTTCTTTCTTTTTGGTTTAACAAGCAATCGGTATATAAATTAGTAGAAATTTTTGATTTTCAAATGATTTCTTGATATAATTACAACATCAAATAAATGTTCGAAATAAGATTTTCAAATATTTTTAAAATAGTTTAAGACAAAATTTCATGAGAATATACACGAAAGTGTGATTTGTATCTATATAGTTTCAAAGTAACAAAAACGAGGATAGATCTATAAAATAAATAAAGAAATGAAAGTGGAATGCAATTAAAGAAGCAAGGATCTGTCGAAACTTGCATGAAGGTAGTGGATTGAATCATATGTACTTCTGCATGCATGGATCGTATGCTTTTTACAAAAATCATATCTCTCAAACCTCCAAAGTTTATTTACTTTCAAATAAACAAATCAAACATTAGTATCAAAAGCATACATGAATCTATAACAAGACCGACGTTACAACCTTAACAATCATTAAGATGCCAATTCTCTGTTTCTCTCTCTTATTTATATTTGATTGATGGTTGACATGCATGCCACTATAATTAGTCCCGTCAAAACAATGAAACCCTAAGGTAAAGTAAATCCTTTACAATTTTAAAATTAATACTTTTTTTTGTCATGATATGTCCAAGCAATCGATAATTTTTGTTCTTTCAAAATATGAAATCCAAAATATATCAACTGCAAAATAGATTTTTTGCAAGGAACTGATGGTTAAAATGTTCACGACTCACTCCCGTACTAATATGTTTAAACCAATATTAGAGTTAGGAGCTAAGAATATAATAACCGAAGATGTCAAATTTTGCATGCTAGGAGCTGAGTTAATCAGGTGACTGTGAAGGGAAGTTTCAAAGGTATTCTTCTGAGCGCTTGAGGAAAAATACATTTTTGAAAGCGATTTAAGTGTATGTCAGTATGTGTATTCAAGATTGGGTAAAGATATCAGGTATAGCTACCGTGGCTAGAAATAGGGTTAAGGGGGGAGTCGCTTTAACACATTCAGAACTGTATAAAGAGATTAAGAATTAGCTTTTGAAGCTCATTCATCTTTAATTAAGCAAATGACGAGTCACGAGTGAGTGAGTTCTATTGATTTACGTGTGTGAGATATCTGAAATGGAATTTTGGGTAAACTAAGAATTGATCGGCATCAATTTTAATGTCTCTTATAGTTGAATAATTTCGACTAGATGTAATTAGTTTATAGCTAACTTAAAATCTTTATAATGAATATATGCATTGGATTTGGTGTGTTTCAAGTCGAGTAAAAATCATTGTCTTTCAGTTCTTCACACTTACAATAACTAGAGCATTTAACAAATAACATTTCACATTCAAAAAAAAAAAAAACAAATAACATTTCTATTAAGTGATTAAGCAATTTTTATATATATAATTTTCGTAGTTAATATAACTAATTCATGCTAATTTTAAATAATTAAGAGTTTAAGTGATCGAGATATAATAGTTTTGCATATAATTTTTACAGTTGATAAAAACTAAATAATCCACATTTTTATATACATTTTACTCGATAAAAATAGAGAGATGAATAAAACAAATATTTCCTTAACTTGATCACATAGTCACTACCCGCTAATTAAATGGATGCGTAACCCAATTTTTTGATTCTGTCCAATATAAGCATAATGTACATGAACTTTAAAACTTTGAATTGAAACAACTAGATTAGTCATATAATAGAATCGAAAAATTAGCGATATATTTCGTCTATTAACTTTTTTTTAGGTATTGTATTTTTGAAATACTTTTATGATGAATTCAATGCATAAATTTCTAATCCAAAATAAAATATAATTTCACTAGTTAGATTAATCTCAACAGTCCATCAAAATAGAAATTGATTGAAAACTAATATATTTATTTTTAATTAAGTTAGTTACAAATTTATTAAAGAATAGCAGTTTTAATAGAAAGTAGCTTTCGATAAAACTACATAGTAGAGAAAAGAAATATTTCATACATTTAATTCATTCGAATTTCTCAGTTTTATATTTCATACGTACATCTGATTTATTTGGATTACTCAGTTTATTTATCTTTCTAAAATGGGTTTGCAACAAACAAACAAAAATGCTCACTTCTTTGATTTCTTGGACGGTTCCAACTTCCACGATTTAGATCACTTTGATACTACTAAAGAAAAAGAAGGTTTGTGGTGAGATTAGTGACAAGAAAAGGAACAATGTTGAACAAAAGTTTACCCTTTTTTTTTGTTCAAATGAACAAAAGTTTATCCAAGACATTGAAAACTGTAAAAAGAATAACGAGAGAGAATGGTAGTTTTTTGTTTTTGTTTTACATCCCTCAATAATGGAATTAATGTGGATGACTGAGAGAGGACAACTATTTGATTCTTCCATCCAAAAAAAAAAAAATCAGATTATCTTCAGACAGGACACTGAAAAGCCTGCGTCGCCACGCGCTTTTAAATAGCCACAATTGTTCAGCTCGTGATATTTACGTGCTTAAGTGCGCGTGGTTAAATTTCCACTCACTCGGTCGCTTTTCTGTGAGCGGGCTCTACAAAGGGCCTTTGGAAAGTATAGGCTTTTAAAGCCCATCAAGTATGGATGTCGACCACGATTTTCGGTTCGTTTTTTTTTCTGATTTAAAATTGTTGATTTATCGAATACATATGAACCGAACCAATAACAAATTTTGTTTTGAGTAGTTT